ATTTTTCCAAAGCACCATCTACTTCTAGCCAAAAATAAGTACATAGCGCCTGTCTCCTTTCCCTGTCATTCTCTGTGCCTAATGACCTTTTACACATTACGTAAGATGCAGCTTGAAATGTCAGCCCTGCTTGTCTTGACTCTCCTGCATCGAGGGTGTTGGGGAGCCATCTGGGATTATTGTAAGCATTATAAGCGTGAGCTCAGCTCAGTCCAGAGCAGTCTTGCTCAAATGAGAGCTTAACACCTGTTGTCTATTCAGGAGGTCACATGTGAGAATATAAWAGTACTCCCTGAAAGAGGTCTAAGAGATGTKGTCCTCTCCAGAAATTTAATTGTGAAGGTTCTGTRACACTGAGTGGGAAAACCAACATGGATGGTTTACATCAGGCTCCTTACCAGAGTGTGGACTCTCTAGTTTGGGGGCTGTGGTCCTGGGACCTGGCTTGGGTTTTTATTTGTGGTCTCACTAAATTATTCACAGATGAATAGATGGTGCAGCTGTTGAAAGTCAGAACTGGCAGGTGCTGAGGATTGCATTCARCTTCTGAATCCTGTTCTTGTCATTTGTTCCACAGTGACGCCCACTTTCTTGGAAAAAAATACGTTGCTATCTCACATTGAATATGTATTAGCTTTAGTATGTGAAGGAGGAAAGACATCTCCTGTAGGTGGTACTGAGCCTTAGAAATTATCAAAAAGAAGAGACAGGTCTCATATCTTGGTCATTCATCAAAAGGAGCTTAGACTTTGGGTGGAAGGATGGACTTGCTGAATGTAAGAATAATGCATGCAAAAGACTAGCATGAGTSTTTTAGCTGTAAAATTCCACTGGTGTGTGGAAACCCATAGATTCCAGGGGTTTGGTGATAGAATACTGATGCCTGCAGAATGATGCCTGAGTTCAAAATGAAAATGTTTTAATCATTTAAAAATGTGTGGATTCCAATAGTAGTTATTGATGGAATTGTGGTGAAGATGAACATGAAACTTATTGATGAGACGCTTAGTCTTCTGCACTCGAGGAASGGTTACTTCCTGACACCTTCTCCTGAACACATCAGCTAATGCTAGCAGCAAGTCCTAATCCTAAAGGATCACTTTTTAAATTTGGCTTGTGTTGTATCTTCTCCCAATTTTTAAATCTCATTTACTTACATGTTTCTTATTTCTGTGACACAGAGACTCAATTTAATTTTAATTTAATTAATTAAATTAGTTTAATTCTTTGGCTCACTAAGATAATGWCTCAATTTCTAGTCACTCTGAGTTTTTTCTTGACCAAGTGTTAATATCCTTAACACATCTGAGTACACATGGGTGTTGGAGATACMTACATTTCAGATCTGGGTCCTCGCTGTGGTGCTGTGTCTGTTTTTACTGTCATCAGAGTGGCTGTTGCCCACGAAGAGCCTGATGGATGTGTAATCAATGTTCTGCTTGTTGTGTCCTTCACAGGTCCTGTTGTCTTTGGAGATGGGTCACTGGATTTCCGAGGAGCCTTTTGAGCTTTTTGACCACTTCCCTGCAGCTCCCGTAAGTCAGATAATGTTTTGGATGGTAAATGCAATCTAGTATTGCTRTAAGCGTGAGCTCAGCTGACTAAGTCCAGAGCAGTCTTGCTCAAATGAGAAAGACGTAGCCGCAGAACTTCACACCTGTTGTCTATTCAGGAGGTCACGTGTGAGGATATGAAAGTAGTACTCCCTGAAAGAGTGTCTCCAGAAATTTAAATATGAATTTAAATTTAAATATGAATTTAAAGTAGGGGTCCTGGGGACCTCAGGAACACAATTGAGGAAAATAAGCAAACTGGATTCTTGACAGTGTAGCCTTATATATTGCTGTTTTAAAAAGTAATCATTTTTACTGTTATCAGAGACAAAACTGATAGGTATGAAAATTGTGGCTTGCTATCATTATYATGTGGTCTTTATATTTTGATTTTCCTAAATTCACTTCAACTATACTGACTTTTAAATATTTCAAACAGTTAATGGAAAATTTCCAAGTTCTAATTTAAAAAAATAATAATAGTGAAGTGGGTTAATTATGGCTTGTTTGGAAGCAGGATTATAAAGAAGTTGGCTTTTATTTTCAAGAATGTTGACTGGTTTGTGGCAGTTTATTATTTCAAAAGATTATTATCTGGAAGATAAGTGATGGTTGTATCTGCCATTTGTTGTGTATTTGCTGACCGGCCCTCTGACTGTAATRTAGCAAGAAACTGAACTCTGCTCTCCAGCCATTGCCGTTATCTGGGTTGTTAAATTGTTTTTGTTTTCATTTTTAAGATTACTGTTTTGATTTCCTTTCAACTTTGTCAATGTTTTCTTAAGGAGAGAAAAAAATTCCTCCTAGCAAGACTGTTTGTTTGAATACTATTAGGAATTGAAGTGTAAAGTGCAAACAGATTCTTCTCATTTCTGTCATAAGAGAATAGAGCTCTGAGTAACATTGTGAGGTCTGTTTTGGAAATCCATTTTTCCTGCTGCCTGAGAAATTGATACAAATTAATCATGTTGCTGCCGGTTTTTCCTGTTACCATTTCCCCAAGTCCACATCCATCATTGTAGTCATTGAAACACCAGAAGCTTACTGTATTGTGAAGTTGTGAAATTTTCTTATGATCACATTTTTTTTTAACTTGATACAAAGCCGTGATACGCCTGTTGAATTTTTAAAGCCTTCTTAAATGCAGTTGTGGAAATAGTTCTCAGGAGCGTTCTTCACCCCCTAAATCTTTGGGAAAGTGAGACATGGCAGAGGGGAGCAGTGCCCACAGTTTAACTCAGAAGGCATAGTGAAATGTGAGGGCCCCCAGGMTAAGTCTGGAGGAAGGTAGGAGTGAAAAGGAAGAAAAACTGAATAAAGAAAAAGCAGTGGTGGAACACTAGGAGGCGGAGACAAACTCGGGGCACGCTGACCGCGGGTGAATCCAAACTTCCCAACATGGACTCRAAAGTGAACATCTGAGAAATTGCTCCTAAATTTATTCCCCAGATGTTCATTGTATTAATTCTACAAAACCTTTAAAAGGAACTGAAACAGTGGGACCTAAGGTTTTGCAGTTGTGAGCATAAGCTGTGTTCGTTAAATGCTCTGTAAACGTTTGCTTATTTCATGAACATCAGATTTTATTTTTGCATTCTAGAACACTTTTTTTTTCAGTTTGCTGATGAACACTAATGCAAATATTTTTTCTTAAATAAAATCAGAGGTGAGTCTATAACTTTGTCAATGTCTTAAATGGAATGTTTTTCTAAACCACAAATTAAATTTAGCTCAGTTTTCTAAAATAGAGCTTACTAGAAGAGAAAGTACATGTCTGTATTAGAATACTGAGAAAATCCTATAGTCTGAGAAGATAGTAAAGTGCATAATTTTCTTCATTGAAAATCAAACTTTTCCTTGTAATAAGGCACAGGTATTTTGTAACCAAATTACAAAATTGTAAATATTATTATAAAAGTTAAACATAATCATCTCACCTAATAAGTTATATTTAATTACTAAAATACCTTCATATTTAACAGCCATACTGGAAAAAAAATAGTACAATCTTCATAGAAACTAAAATGGCATACAATTTGAAATATGTATTTGAGCATTAACTTAAAACTAAGCTGTCAACAGATAAGTAAATACGCTGTTTTGGGTAATGAAAATTTAAAGTAGCTAAGAGGAGTAAAGATGCACTGTTATTTCCAAATATTAAACTGCTAATAACCACTAATGAGAAAATCCCTGAATATAGAGTGTATTTTTATGGCTTAKAGAAGTTTGTCTTCCTTGTAATTGTGATAGTGTTGCTGAATTCAGGACACGTGAATATTTACACAACCCATAAACAGTGCTTAGAGGATCCGTTCCAAGATTATCTCTACTATATAGCACAAGTGTTCTGTTTTCCAGTTATTTACTGATGAACTCGAGCATGACATTCTTGGTTGTGACAGCAGAGTCTGTGAATTGTCACTCTCTCAGCCGTGAATTCATCTTCGCATAGGTGTCCACCAGACCACAGTGCCAGGTCCTGGCTAGTTTGGGTTTTGCTTTGGCTCGTTAAGTGGTGCGGGTCAGCGATGACGTTGAGGTTGTCGTCTGGAGCATGGGTCCGTGGGCACCCAGCGCTGTCTCGGGTGAGGGATGGARTGCAGCAGTGTCTCTCAGTGCTTTGGGATTAGCTGTGGGAAGAATCCAGCACAGTCTTTCTGGGGTATGCAGACGGCATTTAGAAATCTGCCGGTCGAATCATCATGGTGGTGGCCTTAAGTGAGTAGCCTGACCCCTTCCAGTAGTACCACTTAATACCATTGAATTTATTTGTGTTCTGCTTCTGTGGATAGTACATTCCGTTCAGGTTGGAAGGGCCACATGCATCAAACCACCAGCCTGTGGAGGCAAAGCACAGAAGGAATTAGGACCCAGGGATGCCAGCTCAAGCTCCGTGCACCGGCGATCACGCCCAGGCCTTCCAGCAGGCCTGGGCATCTTCACGGGCATAGTACACCACAGTGTACTATGAGCATGCTCCCAGCCACACACCCAGGTCCCAGTGCTGACAGCTAAGTGTTCTCACGCGCTTTCGCACTCCTTTCCTCTTGGGCTACGTGGAAAGGCACCTCGTCCATGGGCACCTGCTTTAGAAGAGACCTGGTACATTGGGAAGTAAGGGTCCTGGGAACCTCAGGAACCCTGAGATGGCCATCATCAGGCCAGGACTGCATCCCTCCCAGCAGCATGGGGGCTGAAACACCCAACGGAAAGGACTTGTTGCAGCTGGTTAAAAAGGAGGGKGGGAGTGGGTGCTGTCTGAGCCGGAGCACAGCGAGCAGAGCATGCCCTCCTGCCTTCACTCTGGGCAGGGCCCACAAATGGCAAACCAGGGCCAGGGCTGGCCAGAAGAAAGGACCTTGGTTTGCATGTGTAAAGATTTGAGTTTGATACCATGTCTGTTAATTTTTTTAATACAGAAAACTATAACATGACTATTTTTGATACTTGGTAAAATAGATGAAGCGAGTGAACCTCAACTCGGGGCTCCCCCAGCGGAAGGTGGGGGGGGGTATCCATGGGGTGGCCTTTGACTTATCTGTAACATTTTATTCCTTTAAAGAATTCTAATGCAAAACATATCTTTAACGTATACACATTGGATGTGAGTGCTACTTATCTCCCTAGCGCCTGAGTGGATTCTGTTCCTTGAGATGCCTCAGATTAATGGAAATGTGGTGGGAAGCTTGYATGTTCCTGGAATCCTTGTGATATTGCAGAGTGACAGATGTGGCCCCACCAGAGCCCACCATCTGCCCCTCTAYGGAAATCACACCCAAGCAGATATCTGGCTGCACATTAGGCCACAGCTTCTTCATGGCCACACCACTAGGTGCAAGTTGGCCCCTTCATAGTCTGACCCCACCCCACTGTCACCTTGGGCTGCCTTTCTTCTCCCATCTCTCCTGTATTTCCCCTCTCAGCCCCTAMATCTCTATTTGTATAAAAAAATATACTGTTTCCTTGGTCGTTTATGTGACTTCCCTGCTCTTGAGTAGCYATTGGGCCTGTGGGAGTTCTGGAAAGCCCCCCAGAAACAGGTCTAGCAAGTGGGGGAGCAGTGACTGTCTCTCCTTAAAGCCTCTGAGCTGGGGGATGTTCCGTGTTACCAGGCAGCAACTGCCACCTCRGGCCGAGTTCTTGAGGTGGTAAAGRCATGAAGTTTGGAMTTAYGGAAACTACTGGGTTTCACTTTATTTCCATAAAAACACCCTCCTTTTGACTACGAACGGTCCCTTAGGAGCCAAATGGCATAGGCTGGGCTGAGCGCTGCTGGTCTCGTGCCCCTTGTCCTGAGAAGCGGTTGGCCACCGCTCTCGCCTTTGCCTTTCCTGAGTGTAGTGAATCCGTTTTTGCTCATTCAGTTTATGTTCTCACGGATTAGTCCCTGCCAATTTCTGTGTGCATTGTTGGCAGAACTCTTGGTGCTATTTTAGTGTTTTTAAGAAGGAACTTGACAGCGCTTGTCACACTTCTCCCTTATCTCAGTCACTACCAACTGGTTCCCGTTATTCAATTTCTAAACCTTCAAAAATCAGAAGGGTGAGCTTTCTAACAGTTGGTCCTCATCACTGCACTCTTAAGTGGCTCTGAAAACTAATCTGCTATCTAAGTGACGGCTGCAACAGCCTTTGGCTCCTGGGGATGGCTTCCGTTTCCGTTTTTAAAGCAATCTGACACAAAAGGTGGAAAACAAGAAAGGCCTTGATTTAAAGTGAACACTCACTCATTTACATCTGAGGCACTAATCAAATGGGTTGATAGTTTCTTTGTGTTCATAAGTCTTTGCTGTTATTCTAGTGAAATTCTCACCAATAAAAGACAACTGAAAATTCCTTGTTCAAACATTGTTGATGACTAGAAATAAAGCGAAATGGGACTTGGGCATCTCTGTGACGTCTGATGTGCAGCAAGAGCACACTCGGGAAAGCTCAGAGAATACTGAGGCCCCCCAGCTGCCGACTGCCGGCCCTTCCAGCCCTGCATTCTTACTCTAAACTCACCGTCTAAAAGAGTGAAAAGCAAATTTGCCTATATCAAGGTAGTATGTCTATTTATGAAATTGTGGACATTGTTACTAGTCACATTTGGAGTCCCAGCTGCCAGGCTTTTGCACTTTCAAAGTGTCCCTTGCCCATACAGAAGAGTCGCCCTACCTCCTGTCAGCATTTGCGAGCATTTGCAGATACATTTGTCGTTGTCCGCATCCTTTGTGCTAAAGTCATTTCCTGGCTGGCTAATGCTGCTTATTTTGCCGGCTGTGCCTGAAAGTCCTTTAAGGTGAATCCTGTAAGCATGCAAAAGGAAAAAATAAAAACCGTAATTGGCTCGGGTCCTTGGTTTACCGTAGTGGAAAATTTCTCATAGTGAAGAATTCCATTCTACAGCAGCGTGCTGTGGACTGGCCAGTGCACTTCAGTGCCTACCCTGGACAAAATAGTTTGCACTGGTATAAACAGGAACCAACTTATCATCAAATCCTTCAGCAAAGAGGGATGTTTTTGTGAAAACTTCAACACATATCACTTGCACAAGCATCAACAGGGACTGAAGGGCCCTGTAATTGATTTTCCTGCTGCTTTCAGATAAACAGAAGAGTGGGCTGCAGCATGGAGGGACCTCCCCCCACCCCGGGGGGGCACCAGTCCCTATCCACACGGAAAGGAGTGCAAGACGCTGACCAGCCTCAAACTCATTGTTTCCAGTGGGGGTGGCACAGAAAGGGTAGCAGGCAAAGGATGGTCCTTGAGTTTGGAGTAGAAATCAATAGAACTGCATAGAAAATAAACCATGTGCCTTGCTTTGCCCATTTCTCTACTGTGGTGTGATCAACCTGTTCAGCCATGAGAAAGCAGGAAATGTTATACTGGGACACCAGATAGCAGCACATGCTTGTAGAATATTGCACAAGTATGGCGTTCATCGTCATCACTGTGCATGCAAAGAGACCCTGAGGAAAGGTGGAAGACTGTGTGTGGTTTGTAAAATCTTCCCGTAACTGTGCCCTAGTCACTGCCTCAGAAAGCCCACAGGTTGATGGTTTGGGACAGATCAGAGCTTGCTTTCCATGATGGGCATGGCTGTGGGAGGGGTGAACCAGAGCACTAGGCTCCGTGTCATGGAGTGCCATGACCTGATGGAGATACGGGAACAGGAAGACCTGGGCCAGGGCCCTGCCATGTTGCAGGAGAACGATACTTGAAGCCCCAAAGTTGTGCTTATTTTATGAGACCTGCTGACAGTTGCTAACCACCTCCTTGGAAACTGCAGAATTTTTAAGTGTTCCTGTTGGCAAGGAGTTCCAGGACAAGGGGGAGGTTGGCTGGTCATAGGCATGCAGGCAGGCGGGCGTGTTGAGTGCTCCTGACAGCCCCAGAGCCTCTTACATAGGAAGCCATCAGGGTTCAGAGAGACAAACTTGCCCAAAGTCGAGAGTAAGTTGTGGCCCTGGGGCCCGCCCCAGGTACACCCTCCTCCTCTGTTGTTTCCACGCCGGTGCCCGCCTTAGCAGGGGTGTAGCTGTAAAGGTCAGGGCGAGGGGCTGTCCAGTGAGGTCCCCAGGTGTGGGTTCTGAGTAGCTCTTGTGTCAATCACTTTGCTTTCTTTTAAATTTGACTATAAAAATAGCTGTACTCTGGAAATTGCTTTAAATTGGTTGTTGTTGACTTTTTCATGACAGTGGGGTAAGGACGAAATGCAACATTTAACAGTTAAGTCTCAGTGTTTGCATAAAACTGCAGTGATGTTGTTGGTGAAAACTAAACAATATTGAAGGTTTCATGTACAAATACATTTGAGTTAAACAGAATCCCATTCTGTTGATGAATTTATCCATGTCTTATAATGTGTACTTCACAGTTTTCCATCACTGAGGGACATTTCTTCATGGGGGAAAAGCACCTGCTTATACACAATTGACATTCTGAAACATTGCAGCCATCAAAACTCATGATCCCATCACGATTCTCCTCTCTCAGTAGCATCATGTTTCTTAGGATAGTAATTTTTAATCTATTTTACATTTCCAAGTATATTAAGTTTTCAACCCATGTGTGTTTTTAGAGTGGCATGTCCAAAATTTGATTACATTTCTAAAGGAAATATCTGTTAAGATCCATCTCCAGTTTAAAATGTTTTTACAGTGTCAGCATACAAGGGTAATGACCCATTTTGTAAAATCTTCTTATCCAAACAGTCTAATCCTTAATTTTTATGTTTCTTTTTTAAAAAATTCCTATTGTAGATTCCTAACTGTTGCCAGTTGAAAAAATATTTAACTTGGAGGTAACACAAGGACTGACCACTCATGTCTCTGATCGCATGGACGTTCTGATGCCTTTGCAGTTGAGTGGGACCCACGGGAGGCCCAGACACTATCTCTGTTCATCTCCAAGGGAGCCTGCTCTCTAATGAGAATTGATGGACTGCGCTCCATGGACTTTTTAGAAGTCACACCGTGTTTATCTGCTCTCAAGGCAGGCTTCTGAATTCGGGTCCGCTGCCTTAGAGCAGGGCGCCCTGGGCGTCCTCTATCACTTCCAGGGGTCTGGTCAGGTACCTGGGCTTGCAGCCAGCTCCCTAGGAAGCGACCCCAGACCTGCAGGGGTTGGGCATTGATGAACAACTGCAGGCCAGGTGACAACTGTGTCTGTGATGCTCTTTTGGGCTCCGTTTGTTGCTGTGGCCTCACAGTAGATGCTCCATGGTTACCAAACCCCAGGAGCCTGCGCTCTTTGCGCTGCTGTGGGGTGGCATTGGTGACTGCTTTCCTCATATGTGTTCCTTGGGTGCCACCAGTCCACTGTCCCACATCCTCCCAGTGGCTCCCTGCCACATACACTGCACAGGGAGTACCTGGGGGTGCCTCTGCTCCTGAGCTGCTCCTGCACCACGTCAGGCCCCTGAGCTGCCTGGTCTCGCCTGCTGGCACTCAGAGCCAGAATCCTGGTCAAGTTTCCATACCTCATTGGAACATTTAAGATTTTTGCCACCAAATGTGTGGAGACAGCACGAATATTAAAGGGGTGCTGTGGATAAGATGTACTTTAGAGAAAAGAGGAAACCTAGTAAACACTCACCTCATTTTAAACTTGTCAAGTAACCCCAAATTTGAAATTGAACACAACAGTTAGATGTGTTTAAACTTCAAAAAAAAAATATTAATATCCTTTGGGAGAAAACAACATAGTCCCAGGTGTCCATCTGTCACGACAGCCACGTTACATGTCATCATAGGGACACTCGGCATTCACTTATTGTTTGGGTGGGTGTGGACACCACCATCCGCCCTGGAGGGTCTGGCCTCTGAAGATACACAGGAAGCACAACCAAAAAATTCCAAAAAGTTTCCCTAGTATTGTCATAACAAAGTTAGGTTTGAAAACTGGGAAACTTAACTAAAGACAGTAATGAGTCAGAGGCGGTCTGTGTCTAGATCGTGGCTAGTTCAACGTGGATCTCAGGCTCTGGAATAGGAACATCCCCCAGTTCTTTCCGATCCCAAGGGCTTACCTGTAGTTGAGCTCCTCGCTGGACAGGTAGAAGTGCTCGTACAGCGAGTACGCCTCGCCGCCCTCCCAGTCCCACAGGTGTATTCTGAGCAGGTAGCGCTGCCGGTTCGTCAGCTGTGAGACCAGCTCGTTCCCCAGCCAGTACTCTCCAGAAGGGTCGCCAAAGCCCTGGGCCCAAGCAGAGTTCATTCACTTCATGAAGTTTCTCTTTGTGTGCTTGAAATCAACAGTGTATCTCTTTCCCTTGGACAACCTGCCAATCAGCAGAGCCACCCGCTCCCTGTGCTGCACAGACGCAGAACCTTTCTTAGAGGACAGTGGATTTCTAAAACATCAGTTTTAAGGGCTAAGGTGTTTCTGGAAGAAAGCCAGTAGTGACACAAGTAGCCCAACCAGGGACACTCGAGGAGCACCTCAGGTGCACCTACCCGGGTCAGCACATGGTGCTGCTGCTCGCTTGGGGCTGGCCTGAGAGCAAACGCAGCCTCACTTGGGTGGACCCGACTACTCCTGAGTGGGGAGACAGACCCTGGAAAGAATCTTTCCTAAAAGTCTGCCTCAAAGTCATTGGTTAGTTTTGGGTTTGCAACTAAGGCTCTGAGGACCTTGAAAGCTAGTATGCACAGAGGAAATCACTTCTTTCAAGCTGCTTTAAGGGACATGCGTACCATCCTGTACTCTTTCCACGACCTCTGGAAGTCGACACTGCCATCCTTGCGGCGCTGGATGACGGTCCACCCGCCGCCACTGGTGTCCATGTCGCAGTAGGCCTGTGAAAGGGAAGGGCACAGTCACCAGAGACCTGGGACTCCATCCCGGGAACAGAAGTGTGGACACCTGCTGGGAGCTGCGTCCACAGGGTCTCTGGGAGAAGGATGGGGTGAATCTTAGCCCTTAGATGACCCCCATACAGTTTCCTGAGAGATTCTTTGTGAATGAGGCATTCCAGCAGATGGCCCTCCATCCACACCTTCAGCAGGTCCAGAACCCTCAACTTGTGTCCTCAGCCTTGCAACACTGTCAGTGCTTGCCTGTCCCTGCCCTCCCTGTGGAGTTGGCAAAGGGGATGCTCTTCTACTGAAGAGTCCCTGGACCCTGCTGTGTCCTTGCTGGAGCTGAGGCTGCCTCTGTGTGCAATAAGAACCAGGTTTCCCCTGGGGCACCGGTGGGCCAGCACAGTGGGCCAGAGCCTGGCCAGGCGGCCGGCCCCCGGGTTCAGGCCTCTCTGCACTGTGCCCATCACCCATGGTATTTTTCTTCCTGACACTCTTTATTTCTGCCTTTGAGCTGGCTCAGTGGGTTTAAACTTTGTCCAGAACATAGAATTCTTTCTTGGGCTAAGTGCATGCATGCTCAATTTCAACTCAGCTGGAGTTTTATTATGAAATTAAAAACCCCTGAAAATAAGATTACATAAACAGTTTTCAATAATGAGATTATACTAGGACAATAAGAAAAATTTTTCCAAAAGTAAGATGATTTCTTTACAGCATACGAGGTAAGAAATATTAAAGTTCAAGAACAATCATAAACATTCTTCCTTTGTTGTTTTCCACGGTCTTTTGGAGAGTAAGGGAGCCAGTTTGGGCAGTGTAAGCTTAAGTGGGAGCTGTATTTTTGAGTTAGGATCTAGGGGTGAGAGCTAATGAGAACCAAGGAGCCCCTGGTCCTGCTCCTGTGTTGTACATGTGAGGAAGCTGGAGCCTGGAAGCCACGCCGGCGGCCTGTACATCATCCCCATGGAGCCAGAGAACTGTGACTGAGCCACCCTGATCTGCAAGGACTTTTCTCCCTCACAGTCCTCTACCTCTACAAAGGTCACAGGTTCAAGTTGCCCTCTCTAGTGAACCTTGGGAAAGATAGGTGCCATGAAAGAAAATCACAATTATGGGTAAGAAAATTATTTCCATAGATTAATCAACTCTAAAAATTGGATCTGCTAAAGGAATCCCCTTATTATCACATTGTATTGATGTGACTTCATTAATTGTCACGGGAATCCCACTCCCCTCTTCCAGCACTGTGCCAGACCCTAACCCTGCATGATTGCTGAGATACGTTCTGCATTTCCAAAAGATCAGTTGAAATTGATCGACTGATCAAGGCAGGCAGCTGCACCATAGCATACAGGGTCTGAAGAGGCCCCTTTAATTCCTGCATAATGTATTTACATTGCATCATGCTGCCAAACACAGAGAAGCTCGACCCTTTGTTAATAGGCCAAAAGTCCCTCTGTTCGGCTCAACTGGAAATCGGCTCATGAGTCACACTGCCTCCTGATTTGCCTGTGGTCAACAAAGTGGACAGTGCTGCTCCATTCTGCCCACGGGCTTTGCAAATCCATGGAATAAGTAGGTGAGTGAGCACGCTGGTGTGAGGAATGTGTGTACACAGTGGTCAGTCCTCTGGCACCTAAGGGCTTGGTGGTGGGGGGAAGCATTAGCATGGCTCTCAGTGGGCCTGCCCTCATTCTGGAACCTTTGACTCTTCAGTGCCAAGAGGCACCATGTAACTAGTGACACCTAAGGATGTGCCCTCTCTCCACGGGAGTCAAGTCTGCACAATCAACTTGATCCACGCCACCATCTTTCTGACTCCTTTAGTCGTCACCATCAGCTTCTTAGAACATTTTTTTAATACTTCGTCTAGATTTGTCAAAAATCAGAGGATTTGTAAAAACAGATGTATTTGGTTGAAATTGGTCATTAAACATGCAGAGGGCGTGTTCGGCTGTCCACAGAGCCAGGAGACACGCCAGGGATAATGAACAGACTGTATCAGGACTGGAAAAGCACAGTGCTGGCTGGCGATGCCCTCGCCCTTGCCAGTCCACACATGGCAGCCTGCTTCCGTCGGTGTGCGGGTGCACTGTCTTCGTGCTCCTGATAAATGCCCTGTTGCCATGTCTATCTTCTACAGAAAACTAATTAAATTTCAAAAATTAAAGTTGCAATACTTGGGCCTTTTGGAAGAAGATCTGTCCAAAGAGCTATTGAAAATTCATTTCTTGAATTAAATGACCCAGGGCAAGATTGGGTACTCTGCTGTGCAGGGCTGTCCCATGTTCTTTGGGGGAAGCCCCACTTTTTAAAAAAAAATTTGATTTGTTGTATATGACAACAGAATGCATTACAATTCACATTACACATAGAGCACAATTTTTCATATCTCTGGTTGTATACAGAGTAGAGTCACATCCTCTGTGTCTTCTTACATGTACTTAGGGTAATGATGGCCATCTCATTCCACCAACTTCCCTACCCCTTTGCCCCCTCTCTCCCCTTTTCCCCTTTGCCCTATCTAGAATTCATTTAATCCTCGAATTCCCCACCCCCATAGCATATTATGGATCAGCATCCTTAAATCAGAGAAATCATTTGGCATTTGGTTTTTTGGGCTTGGCTAATTTCACTTAATGTTGTATTCTCCAGCTTCATCCATTTGCCTGCAAATGCCATGATTTTATTCTCTTTTAATGCTGAATAATATTCCATTGTGTATATATGCCACATCCTCTTTATCCATTCATCTACTGAAGGGCTTCTAGGTTGGTTCCACAGTTTAGCTGTTGTGAATTGTGCTGCTATAAATATTGAAGTGGCTGCATCACTACAGTATGCTATTTTTAAGTCCTTTGGGTTTAGACCAAGGAGTGGGATAGCTAGGTCAAATGTGGTTCCATTCCCAGTTTTCCAAGGATTCTCCATACTGCTTTTCAGAGTGGTTGCACCAATTTGCAGTCCCACCAGCAGTGTATGAGTGTGCCTTTTTCCCCACATCCTCGCCAACACTTATTGTTGTTTGTATTCTTAATAACTGTCATTCTGACTGGAGTGAGATGAAATCTTAGAGGAGTTTTGATTTTCATTTCTCTAATTGCTAGAGATGTTGAACATTTTTCATATAATTGTTGATTGATTGTATGTCATGAGTGTGATAAGAATTTGTTCCCAATTAGTAGGCTCTCGATTCACCTCACTGTTTCTTTTGATGAGAAGAAGCTTTTTAGTTTGAATCCTTCCTATTTATTGATTCTTGATATTGATTATCGTGCTATAGGAGTCTTACTGAGGATGTTGGGAGGGCTTAATCCGACATGATGGAGATTTGGGCTTATGTTGTTTTTTTTTTCTAACAGACACAGTGTCTCTGGTTTACTTCCTAGGTCCTTGATCCACTTTTGGTAGTATAATCATTTTGACAATATTAATTCTGCCTATCCAAGAACAAGGTAGATCTTTCTATCTTCCAAGGTCTTTTTTAATTTCTTTCTTTAGCCTTCTATAGTTTTCATTGGAGAGGTCTTTCATGTCTTTCATTAGGTTGATTCCCGAGGTGTTTTTTTGTTTGTTTGTTTTTAATATTTATTTTTCTTAGTTTTTGGCAGACACAACATTTTTGTTTGTATGTGGTGCTGAGGATCGAACCCCGGCCGCACACATGCCAGGCAAGCGTGCTACCGCTTGAGCCACATCCCCAGCCCTGGTTTTTTTGTTTGTTTGTTTGTTTGTTTTTTTTTTTTTTTTTTTTTTTTTTTTTTT